GGGAATTGTGGTAAACATAAAGGGAAGGTACTTCAATAATAATTACAAGATTTTAGTATTAATTTCCCTTATAACTGGTATCAAAACAACCACTGTCACAGTCCCGTAAATCCTACGTGCCATATAGGCACAACGCTACATGGGTCAGGCCCATAAATTCTACGGGCCATAGGCACAGCGCTACATGGTTCAGGCCCATAAATTCTACGGGCGCGCCAGCAAAGAGGTTACGAGGCAGACCCTCAGAGTTTTTTACGTCCATCTCAGAAAGGACCGAGCCAAGTGGGAATTTTGTGCAATGTGCCGTTCCCAAGGACACAACGTCGGACTGAGCTGAGGCTCCAATCTCCAAACCCACATCCTCATGATTTCGAGTCCAGTAGCTTAACCGCTAAGCTACCGAAGCCCCTAATTAGGTCACGTAAGTGTTGAATGTCAGAGGTGTTATCAGAGAGTAACATGCACAAAAAAAAGAAGGAGGAGAAGTAATGGCGACTGATGTTTGATGAGAAAGAGGGAGCAAACAACACCAGAGCACCCGCCAGCCACCAACAGTAAGAGTTTTACTGCACTTGCAACAACATTAGGTCATGCAAGTGTCAAATGTTAGTGTCATTAGAGAGCAACAGGCAAAGAAAAGAAGTGGGAGAGATGATGATGGTAGATGTTTGACAGGAACGAAGATGAAAATCCCAATAGAGCACCCACCAATCACGAACAACATAAGAGTCTTGTTGAGCTTGAAACACAATTAATTAGGTCATAGAAGTGTTGAAGTTTACAAGTGTTACTAGAGAGTCTCACATAGAGAGAAAAGAAGGAGGAGAGATCATGACGATAGATGTTTGATAGGAAAGAAGGAGGAGAGATCATGACGATAGATGTTTGATAGGAAAGAAGGAGGAGAGATAAGGACAATAGATGTTTGATAGGAAAGAAGGAGGAGAGATAATGACGATAGATGTTTGATAGGAAAGAAGGAGGAGAGATAATGACGATAGATGTTTGATACGAAAGAAGGGGGAGAGATAATGACGATAGATGTTTGATAGGAAGAAAGAGCATTAAACCAAACCATAGTATCTGCCAACCACCAGCGATCAGAATGTTGAAATATCTCATTCGTATTGTGAGATATCTTGCCATGTTGTGAATGCTGTGAACTATTGAGGTT